AACAAAACAATCACGTGCTGAGTTCTCGTTGGATTTTGATGTTGTTCTGATTGGATCGCCAACATCGTCATTACCATGTAGCATATTTTAATGTCAAAACCGAAATGTTTTATTTGAAATGATTATTATAATATATAAATTATTATATATTATTATTTTTATTATAGATTATTATATATAAATGATTATTCAATGTTTCAAGCAAGTAATTAAAAATTATGTTTCTTTTTTCTTTTCATTTTGTTTGGTAGCCGTTGGTGACTTTATGGTCACTGGAAACACCTTAAGCTAAACTCCTAAATAAATACGTAAATATTGGCAACAGTATTGATCGTTTGAATGTACCTTAGATGCAAAACACGTGTTCATGATTGATGCAAATTGAAGAAACGTCTAATAAAAATACTGCAACTTTTAAACTACAATATACGCAGTAATAATACAACTTTTACTTACGGCATAAGAGAATTTACGATACATACATATTTCCGTGAATTTACACGCTGTTTTACTTTCGATAACATGCCGCAGAGAAATACGGCCTGCCAATTCAACAGCAAATACTATACACATATACATACATATTCTATACATATATTCAGAAAATATCAGAGGACTTTGATTTTGAACGAGACACTTTTATAGTCCTTGGCTCTTATCTGCTTTCGCGTTAAACCGGGAAAACAGGGAATGGAAAATTAATAAAATAGATAGAGGGTGGGTGGTCGGTGAGATTTCCAAGTAGGCGTGTTACGAACGATGAATTTCTGGTTTATTTTTAGGCATTCTACTTGAAATTCTACTATAGTTGTCGATTCATCGGTGTCTCGATTCTTTTTACATAATTCTCGAAACTTGTATATAAATTTTCTTCTTCTCTTAACAGAAAAGAGTATTATGTTGAATCAGATGTGAAAAAAAGAAACTGATTCATTTGATCGTATGAATCCGATTACGATCGATGGTATATTTAGCGTTACGTGTCGCAAAGGAAAATGAAATAGGATTCTGATCATCGATTTCGTGAATCCGATTAATCATGAATTATATATTACACGTTCTTGCGCGAAACAAATTTCAAATATCGTTGCTAAATGTGGTAATAATCTTCCATATCTTCCATATACATCAATGTATTGTTTTTAAGCTTGGTAATATTCCAGAGAACATTTTTGATGTAATATCAATAATAAAAGATTTTTTAATACGTAAATCCTACGATAATGAAGCTCACAGCTTTAAATACACTTTTATTTGGATATCATATGAAAATAACGTGGTTTAGTTGATGGAATTCAAAGAAAGGAACTTTCATTAATCTCGCGTTTCTTGGAATTTTCATATTTTACGGGAATACTATCGTTATAATCTTCGTCAAAAAAAAAACTGATACTTTTACTTTATCTTCAGTTTTCTATAACGTCACGTTACATTTTGAAAATTACATTTTGAAAATTTTGTCTAACTGTTGCTATATCGTTCTATTTTATATGGACATATTCATTGGATTTTTAACTTCTAATTTCAGATTAAAGTAAAAGGCTTCAATCGATTCTGTTTCTTTATCGCAAAAATAAAGGGAATTCCGTAGCGATAGGACGTTAAACGATGTAGCTTTTATTTTAACGACGTTTAAGAGTCTCACTTTATCTTTCTTCATCAACAGTTCCTTACTTGTACCAGCATTTACCAAAATTTAATTTATTCAATTACAGTCTTGTTTTCATCCTACGAAGCTGCATAGAACGAAAGCTGCAAGAATATATTATCAAATACCAGAAAGTAACAAGAAAAATTGGCTGACTTTAAATTTTAAAGCTGCTACATATATCGAATTTCGAATCGTTAGGTGCGGTTTATACATGTTCCATAGGTTTAATAAAAAAGGATGAGACCAGCTTACCGTTCCAGCTTGATTTAACTTTCTTCCTTTAGCAATTTTCGGAATCACTGGATCTTTCAACCCGTCAGCCCACCTTATCGATCGTTCATTCATTGGTTTTAGAAATATCTGCCTATCTCGTGGTAGGTCAGGCTCAGTGGAATTACGTCGCACGTTGGGACTAACGATCTGACGTGGGACGTTTGATACGAGATGCAAACTGCGTCATCAATAAGTTTCTCAACGTCAATGACATTTTCTCATTTTTAACCATTCCATCTCTGACACAGCATCTACGCGTTGAAAACTTTACTCGATTTTAAAACTGTCGTCCTAACGTTTATCCCCCTTCCCTTTTTTTAAATATAGCTCGTATTTTTCGAAAAGGTTAAGCAACTAAATCGTGTTTTCGATCGAAGCTGGCTCGACGCTTGTACCATGAATGTAAATATTCTCTCGTATTACACCGAAGGATTTAATAATGAAATAGAGCGGAGCAAATGAACACGCCGACTTCGGCTTTAATACTCCGGAGATTTTATTTAAACTTAAGAAACGCGACTGAAGAGATCTACTTTTATTTGCGTACAAAAGGTAACGTCTTATGCCGTAAATTGACGATGCCCTACTTTTTCGAAGAACCGTGCAGTCTGTAATTTTCTCTACAATTAACTATCGTCGTTAACATCAAGAGTTTAAGATACACCCATATGGTCTAATGTGTCTAGAAAAATCATCTTATGCAGTTGCTACAGTCTACGTAATCTCGTTTACGTTCTAATTTTTTGTATTCTTATATAGTCTTAGTTGGATTATAATCTTGCTGTTAACTCATTTTAAGTTAATTTCAAGTAAACAATCTTAATTATGTCTACATTCGTGTAAAGCAAATTTTTTGTTATATATATGTTTGCACAAAATAAATTGTATATAATAAGAAATAATAATAAATATAAACTATACCTACATTTTTGAATTTTACCAATAGAATTACAGATACTAATATTATGTTTTCATGGGCACAATTAGAGAAATGGAACAAATTGAAATTCGTTCGGTCTGTTGGAAACTGTAATGAGTATTATATTTCGTTTTATGGATTTTCATATATCATGTGCATTTTTGTCTTCAAAATATTCCATAAACGGATGAAAATCCGCATTACAACCACTGCCCGTTACAGTGTTAATGAAATTCAAAATGTTTCGTGTAACGTTATATATTCATACAAATTTTCAACATATTTCTAATACATCATTCATAAAAATAAATTTCACCAGCCACTGCACGTTCTTATTGACGTACAAAATCTAATAAAACGCATACCGAGTTCTTGTCGCTGGAGGAGAAAAAATTACACGAGCGCGAGTTCGACTGCTCGGATGATTAGACAAAGGGCGCTAAGAGAACCACGTTTTTCCTATTATCATACTTAGAACCGTGACAAGACTTTGTAAGGTTGGCCAAATAAAGGCCAACGTCAGCTGCGCCGTATTAGAACTTTTTCTAGCTGGCTCTATCGCGTCCTTGTTTCGTTTCCAGATAGACACCGCGCACCCATTCTATCGAAATCAATGCGCTCCTTTTATTGCCATTTCCTGAATAACGCACATCGTACCGTCTTTGAAAAAGTAACAAAAGCTACGAGACACGATAACAGGCGAGAAAAAAGGGCGCCGCAGGCGATACCACAGCTTAAAAGAACTCGAGACAAGCTCCAAGCGTTTTAAAATCTCTATATCTCACGCAGTACGTCCTATTTTTATTTCGCACCTGTAAATCACCTCATTCACGCGTCCGTTTACCTTTGATGATATCTAGGTGGAAAACTAGATTATTTTCGACGATTCCTCACGAGAATGTCCACGTACAGTGATACTTGAAATTACCGTGCACCGTGACGATTTTGCGTGACTTTAAACCGATCTTGTTGCTACGTGTGTACGTAGATGTACACGTCTCCGTGCAACGTGCTATTAATAACTTTTGCCACGTTTAATTAGCTATCACCACTATAATTATATAAAACACGGAAGATAGTGATGATTGAATAATTAAATATGTTTATTTTCATGCAATATACATGCCATTATTTTTATAACAGGGTCTCATAAGATTTTATAATCTTTTATGATTATATTATACGTATATATATATATGTAAAAATAGTGGCATGTATATTGCATGAAAATAAACATATTTAATTATTCAATCGTCACAGTCTATATATATATATATTAACGCACAATAGAACTGCTCTCCCTGTGTCATTTCTAAAATAAAAATACTAAGAGAGTTGAAGTGATTCATTATGTCAAATTGTCATATCGCCTTTATTTCTAGTTGCTCAACCCCGGTAAGGACATGAATTTAACTCGAGGAATTTCACTATTATTAATTCAAATAGATGTAACAAATTTTTATTTCCTGCGAGAAAATAGTATTTGACATAGCTGGCTACCGTTTGGCTATAAGGAAAGGCGATTTTATGTCAAACATATAGTTTGTTGAAAAAACGACATTGCTAAGAAAGGTACATTTTTAAAAACATCGATTTAGAATAGAAAGTTCGTTCAACCATTAATTGTATGATATGTGCGTTATAATACCTCGTTTTTGAAATTAATCCTATATAAGTATTTGAAATCTGATAATTTCTTAAAACGTAGCTCTCTTGTAGGAAACCGACGCCAAATAATACCAGACATAACATAACATAATATAACATCGATACATATAACGATATAATACAATCGATATAATATTTCCGGTAGAAATAAAAATAATAACAGCTGACGTCGTGTAGGTGACGCGAGGCAGCTGAAAAAGTGACGAAAATCATGATCGTATAATTTCCTGTGACGTGAGTCGTATTTACGCTCGACGAGACGGGAAAGGCGAAAGGGATTCGAGAGGACAGGAGAAATGCGAACAAACTGGAAAGGAGCTACTTGATGCGTCTTTGAAATACGTCCGATATCGATGGTGGCACGTTGTTGCAGAGGGTTGAGGACGAGGATAGTGACATGTCCTATGTAGTGCGATGGCGCGTCCCCTGGCGCCGAGGCAAGGGACGAAAGGGGGCGGTGATGTTCCCCACAATCCCCACGTCGCGACCAGCTTTCCTCCGAGCCAGTCGGATGCTAGATGTGGCAGGAGTCGGTTCGTTATATTCGGTTCGACTCGGCCCTAATCGGCTTTCGTCGGGTTACTCGTGCTTCTCACATACACTCGCACATTCGTTGCATTCGCGACCGATGCTCGAATACTGTTCGTTGCCGCTGTGAATGTTTTCGTGTAATTTAGCACGAAAAACATTTGAATAATCGGACACGCGACTAACGCGTTTCGAGCCGTGTGGATACCAGCGAAAAAGAGCAAAAGAGTAAGTGACAGGTCGTTGCACTTGCTCCATCCAATCAGTGTCGTCGCTTCGTTGAATTTCCGTGCGTGATTTGTGTTTACTGGCCGCGCCTGAATACCGTTACTTGTGACACTAGCAGACTGTGCGAAATTTCGTGACTTCTGTCTCTCGCGTTTTTCATCTCTGCGATCGATCTTCGCTTGTCGTACCCTGTCAACATCAAACGCTGTAATTTCCTTCGAGATTTTCAAAGTATATCGTAGCGGAGACGCGTCCAAAGTATCAAACATATTTGTAATAAGCCGAGGAACGATACAGAGTGATCGTGACAAGAACGGTGCACGAGAGCACGTAGAGCGACCTGTTGTGTCGGGATAGTCGACAGGAAGACACGTAGAATTTAGTGCCTGTCGGGACTCGTTGAACGACGCTAACCAGAACGGTGAACAAGTTACGACGCGTCTGGGAAAGTTGAACATCAAACTCTACACACTCTACAGTCTACAGAGTTCCTAAAGTCGTACAATTTAAACGTCGAATTCTTCGCGGCGTAACAGCCGAGAGGCAAGTAAAAGGGAGGACAGATCGCAGAAAAATTCCAGCGATAATGCGTACAGTGAGCGAAGCAATGAAACATCGCGCGATCAGCTGACTAGCCGAACTCTTTGGCGGTCGTCAGAACTCGGCCGATAACGAAAATCGGCAGAAGACCGGCAAGAACCCTAAAAATCGACAGCAACCTAGATTACCTACTTGTGCGGTTATGACGTTTGGAACGCCGTTTCACACCGAGAAGTCGCAGTTCGTTGGCGATAACCCTGTTCGGTATGTTCTCTCAACTTCTCTCCCTCTTTTTCTCATTATTTCAGTCGTTAGAAACCGGTTTCGGTAAATACATATACGTATATCGTGAGATTCGAAGGTTTTACGAGATTGATACTCGATGTTTTGACTTTGTAACGAAACTTCGGACTGAGGTATATACAAGAACTCGTTTTCTCCTTTTTGAGATAAAAATGCAGGCTTTTTGTTTATTTAACTTCAACTTTTACAAGCTGCTTCATTATGTAAATACACTAACACTTAAGACGGAAGTGGAGTTTATTTGTTGAACAAAATATGAAGATATTATCTTCCAAAGATTAAACATTTTCCGTTCTTGGACTTTGAAATGGATACGTTACAGATGCATTGATAAAAATGTTTAAGTTTGAAATATCAAATTTTTCTGTGAAAAAATTGTATACGTAATTAAATGTACACGTACATATTAAGTTTTATATTTATTCTTTATAAAGTGTATTTACATTACATGCTTAAGTGCTTAATCCATAATTTTGTAGTATTCAATGCATAATAATGTCTGCATATGTAGGAATTCATAAATTCAGTCATTTATGTGGCTTCTTATTTATTAGCAATTTAAAGACATTTATCGTGTCTAGAGACATTTGTTTTTAAATTACAAATTTTAACACAAGCTTACACAGCTGAAAGATAACCTAATCTATTGAAGCATTAAGCTTGATATTTAGTTTCATGTGAATGTAATTATGTATAGTAGCTACATGTACATCAGTCTAATTGTTTACATTGTCATTCTGTGTCATATTTACTTAATTCCATTATACAGGGTGTCCCAGAATTTGACGGTCAAACTCTGTCAGTATATTACGTGGATATAATTAAGCAAAAAATATTATATAAACACGGATCATTGAAAACTCCATTAAAATGTTCTCATAAAAATATGAAATATGGTGGGAACTCTGTTATAAGATAAGAATAGATTTTCAATCAGCATGATAATATTCCATTGCAAAATGTTCACTGTTCTTCTCGATACGAAACTGATAAAACTGATATTACCCCATGATACGAACTGATATTATCCCATAAAGCTCATTTTGATTTAGTTTGTATTAGTTCATAACGTATATTTTTTTCCTTTCTTTTTTTCTTTCGAATTTTTGGCACATAAAAATTCAATAGAGCGAAATTACAGGCTAAAGCATTGTTTTCTTTGTTCTGTACTGTTATTATTACTCGCTCGATTTAGTCCATAAAATGTACTGACAAAGTTTGGTTATTAAATACTAGGAAAACTGTATTTCTACCTAATTGTATAAAATTTACTATATTAATTGTAATAAATATGTAATAATATCGTAAGAGCTTACGAATTTCAATAGGATCGTGGAAATCACAATGATACCATATTATACATCAGCTTCATTAAATTCGGTTAATCATAGTCCTTTATTTCACAGAAATGTTGTTTATAGTGGAAAACTAATACATGCACGATATATCTGCCTATTATGAAACAATAGTATGATAACGAGGTCCTATGTGTATTGCTTGATATTATTCTAGGAATATATCAGTTTGATAATAACGCATATTTTATATTTCTTCGTATTTCGTATTTCAACAGGTAGAAACTTCATCGATTATTTAACGACTTAAGTTCTTGCACAAGATACCCGATATTTGGAACATTTTTCTTATTAACGCAATTAGTTGATCGTTTTTCTTAATCTCTTATAAATAAATTACATTTTTAAATACGACGTGTCAGTTGCAAAGGAATAAATTCGTTTCTATTTTCTTATTTCCACATACTCGAGTATCAATGGTCGATGAGAAGCAATAATCTGACTAACGGTCGTAATTGCAGAAACGCGTACGTTGAAACTGCCGTAATAGCCGTGGAATTATTTCATTAAGATGGAGAAGCAAATGATTCTTTGAAGTCAATTCTACGCTAACGATTTCGATAATAATTATGTTTTACGCAAGTTCCTAGCAAATAAGAAGATTTCTGTTTTGCTTCGGTCGTAATATACAAAGTTCATTGTTTCGAGAAACAGCCGATGACAAATCAGACATTTGGCTCGTTAATACATTTACGATTAGATCCAGAATTATAAAAATGATTGAAAATCAAGAATACGTACAATACGTAACTCGAATGAAATTTGATAGTTGTCGCTAGCTATAGCTACCTATTATAGCTATAGCTGTGGGAAACATAGCTGTTCAGGAAACGAATATAAATTACTTAATCGAGATGATATTGTATATTCCTTTTCGTCTGTGAACCGCATTAAATTTCTCAAAATTAATGGTCAATGGTATTATGGAAATGCGTGTCTACGTTTACGTGAAAAAGAAAAACGTAATAACACGGAGACGAAGTATCACTGTCTTCTTAATTTATTAGAGGCTTCGAGTGAGAAAATATGGACATCTCCTTTCATCTAAAATATTAAAGTAACTTGGAAAATAATTACCAGTTACAGACCTGTGACGTCAGTTTAACGTATTCTCAGTCTCACGTGCATATTGGATGTGCGTGCCTATGCGACTAATTTGGCATTGGTTCGTGGAGATACATTCGAACGTCATTCAATGCTGCACAATATACGATTAATGCATATTGATACCCACTCGCATACTCACACGATCGCATAAGAATCATTCTTCGAGGCGAAGCGTCTTGTATTTTTATAGTCTCGGAAGTAGAGAAAGCGTCAGTAAAAAGGTATGCTACTCTCGAGAAAATGACCAGAGAACGATACAGGATAGTTCTGATACAGTGCTGACGCTTCCTTTGTTCTGTTGCTACGCGTCAGGAATCTCAATGGCATTGTAGACCGTGAAAAAATTTCTGACGCACATAAATTCAGGTTGAAATCGGGATTAAAGGAGACGTTATCTGTTGAAAGGAGACGTATCTAAGTGCTGATAAAGCGTGTCTTTTTTTTTTTTTAAACAACAACGATAAAATACAATTGAAATATAATTTCGAAATACCAATATAGCAATATAATAATAACGTTATTTCATTGTATATAATTTTTTAATGAATCACGCTTTTTTGAAGTTTCTTTGTTAATATTGATAATAAATATTATTTTCATTTTGTACCACTTTCAAACATTTTTAACTCATTCCAACGAGACTAATACAGATTTTATTGCTGTGTTAGTAAAGTATAGAATCTGAAAGGAGCCTACGCTGATACATTTCTATTAAACTGAGGAAATTTGTGTTTTTATGGACTTAGAGAAGTAAAGGTACATATGTAGATATCCAAAGCAAAGTACATCTTCTGACAGTGAGTAGGTGAAACGTTTATTTATTAGTTACCTATTACACTTTATTTATTGTTATTATTTATTACCATAATGTTATAACACTAATTTTACCAGACCTGGCCAAGTGACCGGTTTCGAAATTTAATTTAAAATTCTACATTCCTTGTTATTTCTTTTGTACGTCTAGCTTTATGTAAATTCTTATATTATCTGCGAAAACAATTTCTCAATTTTTCATAATATCATTTGCTCAAACAATTTCTCAATTTTTGTTAATATAAGAATTTACATAAAGTTAAACGAACAAAAGAAACAACAAGGAACGTAGAATCTTAAATTAAATTTCGAAACCGGTTATTGACCGGGCCTGGTAAAATTGGTGTTATAATATGGCAATAAATAATAACAATAAATAAAATGCATAATAAAACGTTTCACCTATTCACTGTCAGAAGATAATATATTATAATAATACCCACTAATATCGCAATCTCGATAGTTTAACGAATCTAGAAAGAAAGAACTAGTTCTTCACGAAAATTTGATAAGTTACGGGTAACAATTAAATTTGTTATTCTCGCTGCAGTTACAAAGTTATGTACAAGTGAAATTGAAAAAGTTTCGCACGCAGTTGAAACTTTGTATGCAGGTGACGAGATGAAAAGTTTCGTGTAAATTCTTCATCCATAATACGCGGTAATATGACCGATTTGAGTGGATAGGTTGGTCAGTGAACTAGAAAAATGTGACGTTATTGCGCTGATGGAAGCGCAGAGGCAAGGACGCGTTGGGGTAGATTGCTATGACCTTATTATCCTCGACATGCTGTTACTCGAACAACGACATCTAAACGAGAGAAGAGAGTATGAAACATTCATTCTGAGCGTTGCTTGGAACTCGTTCTTTGTTTTTGTTGTCGTTCGATTGATTATACGCGTGAACATCTTTCCTTGTTTAACGCTTCCTCTTCTGTTTCACGAACACTTGGGATTTTTAGGTGTTTAATAAAATCAATTTTCCCAAATTATTTCAAATAAATTATACAATTATTAAAACGTATATGTTTGAAGCTTCAGTTTTATTCTAATTATTTAATAATTAATTAAAATATAAAATAAAAATTAAAAAATAATTAATTAGGATGAAGCAGTTGTATCGGTGCAGAAATTATGTTTCATGATAGTTAGATCATCTCGTCTCTTATTTACGAAGAACAATGTAATAGTCTACTCTCTTTATTTTTTAGGAAATTATTTTTACGGAAAGTTTGTGGCTTATTCATCGACGACATAAATGTAAAATCACCGCGATGAATTGGAATCCGTGTTATATTGAATTCGTTTTATATATCGAAACTTTTCATTACATCGTACGACGACATTTCGAAATTCCTAAAAAGAAAGTAGGAACTAGGCTTCCTTCATTACATACGCCTGTTGTGAGAATCGTTGTTGCAATTAATAATTCGTGCTGTATTAACTTGAACGTTGATTGCGCATTGTTTATCCAAAACAAGCTTGTTCGCAATGTTCCGTGCAAGCAAACATCTCCGGATTATGCGGAACACATTTCCAAGTATCAAATAAAAAAGTAAAAAAGATAGGAATCAAGCAACGGGGTACATGCACGATCTTCCAACGTTTAAAAACATCGAAATTTGTTCTGTGTAAATATTATTTCATTCCTATTCCGTTGATATTTTTCGTGTACAAATATTTTTTG